CCCTCTAGTCCTATCACTACCCAACATCCTAAAGAGCCCTTCACCACCTTTCTTGTAGCCCCCTTGAGATACTGGAAGGCCACAATAGAGTCTCCTCAGAGTCTTCTTTTCTGCAGACTGAACAACCCGAACTCTCTCAGTCTGTCTTCATAGGGGAGCTTCTCCAGCCCTCTGATCATCCTCGTGGCCCTTCTCTGGACACGCTTCAGCACGTCTGTATCTTTTTTGTGCTGTGAGCTCCAGAACTGGACGCAGTACTCCAGATGGGGTCTCACGAGAGTGGAGTAGTGGGGGAGAATCGCCTCCCTCGACCTGCTGGCCACACACCTCCTGATGCAGCATCTCAAAACACAAGCCCTGTGTACTTCAGCTTTAATGATATTGCCCAACTTTGTCATATTTATGAATATTTTCTGTTGTGGTGGTTATTTCAAAATCTTTTGATTGGCATTCAGGTAAGCAAGACAGTCATGGCTTTCCTGCATTATTTTTGGATGCTGTCATGTGCACCATTTGACTGTTTTATTTGAGTAATCTAGAGACAGTGATGGTGCCACTGAAAGCCTTAGTGGATATTGCAGCATAAATTAGCCAATAGTCTTTCTAAGAAGCAACAATTCTATCAAAAAGAAAAACAAGGCAAAAGTGCTGCATCCTATTTCAAAACAATCCAATACAGGTTTGCACAGCCTTCTGTATGTTGTCCAAAGGTTGTTCTGTGGGAATATGAAATCTTTCCTTCCTCTGAGCTGGCTGGAGTTCCCCTTTGTATAGGGTGAGCCTTGGACAAGTTGTCACAGTGGTAGAGGATCTTGTGGGAGGGCCGTTGTAGTCCACAGAAAATGCTGGTCCTGACAAAACGTGCTGGTGTAGTGGTACCTCAACTTTAGGCATGCTCTTTCCTGTTGAAAGGCACAGATTTACACTTGTGACCCATAAAATAATAGTGGTTAAACCACGAGGCAGAAAGCTGCATAAGGTAATCCAGACAAGGAAATTATGAGTCTAATTGAAAAGAAGATCCCAAATACTAACTTCTGGTTTGCTGGAAAATGCCTTAATCCACTAGGGACCCATTCATCTGCCAAATGCAGCTGGACAGGTGAGCCAGGTAATACAAAACAAAAAACCAGCACCTTTGTGTGGTCTTCTGCTTAGTGTTTGACAAGGTCTGTCCACCAGACTGCACACTTTTACCGTGTACCTTGTGTCACCTCTAGTGTTAGTCAGAGCTCTCTAAATTCAGCTAGGTCACAAACCAGTCAAGATTCTAACCCTGCTTCCCCAAACACTCATATTTGTGTCTCGAGTCAGTGTATGGAAGAATCAAAACGGTGCCAAAGCTGCCATCAGCAACACGGTGGGCCTCCGTAGCATAGGAGTGAGGGGGTAAAGCTTACTGAAAGAGAGGAGAGGGACACTGCTGCTAGGTAAGCTGAGCTACCTGAGTTGTAATAGCCTCAGTGTCCAGAGCACCCGGATGAGACCTGGTATTGCTTACAAAGTCTTCTTCTCCTGAGGGGGCAGAAATCAGTCTGCTCTGTGTCAGGAAGTCCTTTGGCCCGTGGCTGCTAACCTGTAGGGTGCTCCAAATAAGAGTTTTTCCTTCATGTGGCTGCAGTGTATAGGCAGTCTGGAGTCCTTCCAGACTAAATCCTTCAACTAAAGATTGCTTGGGCCAGTGGAGGATGGCTGTTTGGGAAGATTTCGTGGCTTCGTCAGGATACTTTGACAGCTCTTTACTGAAGCAGATCCTGTGACCCACACCTTTCCATCCAGCCAAGTGCTGCTAATACCAAGCTGTACATCCTCTTTGACTGTCAACTGGTGGGTCGCATTTACTTGGTGCAAAGTGAAGCAGCTTCAGCTAGAGGGGTGAGAGCTTGAACGGTTAGAGCAGTGCTGTAGGACTTCTGCACTAAGATCTTGTTGGATAGATAAGAAACCACTGACCCAGGACATTTAGTTCCGACTCCTGATTGAAAGAGAGAATGGTCCTCTCCTGCATATGTTTTGTGTGGAAAGCCTATTCCCTTACATGTCTCAAAGAACTTGAATGGGCCCTGCAGGTCAAGTAAGTGTCAAGGAAAATGAGGCTGGTGATTTGTGTAAAATCTAATTTTATGACGAAGTCTAGCCTCAGTAAAGTAAGTGCTCAGTCTCTGCATCCCTCTAGGTGACCAGAATCTGCTGAACGTGCCATGCCAGGCTGAGCATCTGCATGCCATGTGCATGGTACAGACAAGTAGTGATTCCTTCAGACAAGAAAATTATTTTAGGGTGTCCCATATCTTGGAAAGTTGGGTAATCATCAACATTTGATGGATCTAATCCAAACTGCTTGTTGAAAATACAGTTGTGGGGTTTTGTGCTTGTAACCTGCCACCTCACTGAACTGCAGTGGGGGTCTGAGAGAGAGTCTTCATGTGGTTTCAGGAAGCAACTCGTCCTGTTGCTGTGCAAAAGAGCCATGCAAATTCACACCATCCCTAGAGCCAAAGTAAAGCAGCTATTCTTCCCAGTGAGTGCCAGGATTGTCCCTGCTGCATTGTGTGCAGTACAGAACAGCAAACATCTATCACATTCAACTCCCAGGGCTCAGCTGTGCCTTAAAGACACGGTTTAGCTTTTAACAGAGCTGATCAGCACACAATGTGCTGACTGTCATTCTTAAAGAACAAAATGACAGATGGGCTTATGATATGTTTGTCTGGAGGTAGAGAATGAGAAGAGCAACTTGGTTACTAATTACCTTCTCACCGCTGAAAGGAGAAATGTCCCTATGCTTGACACGATTTGCATGGACATGGCAAAATTAATGAACTTTTTCACCCTCAACTGTCCCAAGAGCCAGCTTTACACTGTTGTCTGCGTGGCTCTGGGATCTGAATGCAGCCATTTGCATTCAGCAGAGCAGCACAGACACAATGTGAGAGTTCAAGAATTTTAAAATGCATCCCTGCCATCAGGCTGTTTTGCAGCAGGTGTGCTGCTGAGTAACTGCCGTGGGTCATATCAGTGACTATTACCAGTGCTTCTTTTTTTTACCCTTTTTAATGCTATTTGAATCTGAATATCAATAAAACAACTACTCTTTCAGATCTGTTATTCAGGTTACTATTTCCAAACTGGTATGATTGCTTCTATGTTAAAAGAATATACCTGATATGTTGTGAAATAATACAATAACTCTGATTCCATTTAGTTGTTGTTGGTTTTTGTTGTGTAGGTTTTGGAGTGAGTTTCTGCCACATGAGAAATTACCCCAGCTGTGCGAGAAGGCTCAGAAATCTTAGGAAATAGATATTACTGGGGGTGATCAAAGGTGTCAGAATTGTGTCCTTAATGGCTGTACGTACAAAAGTATCTTGACTTTAAATTATATTTAAAATAAGTTACAGATATGTGCTAATAGAATCCTTTGTATGAAAAGACTTTTGAGCTTATTATCCATTACGTGTTTAATATGAATTATTTCTTTTAAATGCCACTCTAACACTTATGTCCTGTGACAGGTCTATTATTATTCTAACAATTCATCCAGTAGATACATTAAATGCTTTAAAATAAATCTAGTTTATCACTAAAGTCCATACCTAAAGAAGGTTTTGATTTGGAAATGTTTTCAAAATTGATCAACAACATCTATCGACTCAGACACCAGACTTCTTCTCTAGTTCTTGGTGTAATTCAAGATGAATATGGAGGTAGTGCCAGGGGAAGTAATAAATGCAGTGTGTTGCTTCCCTAGATGTGAAAATGGGAATCATTTACAGGCCTGCATTTGAAAAATAAAATTGGAACTTTGAAGCGTAGCTATCTGATACTAGAAACACAGGCTGCAAGCCTATGGAGTACACATGCTGCTAATATTCAGGTAAATGCTCTAGGCTGTTTTCCTAGTTTTGAAAGCTGATGCAAAACCAATTTCAGCAGTGCAGTTAGTATGTTGAGTGTTCTGTTTGTTTAATTTTTGAGACTACCTTGACAGCAGTGAGGTGGCTGACCCTCAATAGCAGCAATTTGTTTTCCTTTGGTTTGATTATGGTGGGTCTTCATTGTAAGTCTAATCACTAGCAGGATGTTACATCTTTATGTGGGTCTAATTGACGGTTCCTGGGTGGTTAATCTGAAGAATGTAATTCCAGCTAGTTGATGAGCACATAAGTGCTGCTTACAGACTACTAAAGCAAAAAAAAAAAAAAAAAATCAATTATTTTTGTCATCTGAGCGTTTTTTCTTTTGAAAACAACCTTCTTCAGAATAGATTTCGTTACTTTTGGCCTTTTCAGTTTATCTTCAGTCAGCTTACTGATCTCTTTTTCTTCTTTCCTCTTCAGCTTCTCTGTTCTTTCCCAATATCCAAAGGATAAACTATATCAGTGCTATGACAACGGGTGGGTTGCACCTTCTCCACAGCATTCAGATATTTTCTTCATGGCCCTCCGTGTGAAGTCCACCTTCCCCCTTTCTTTCTTGAGAGCAGTGTACTCATAGGCCTTCAGCTTGCTGTAATAGTCTGAGAATTTGTTGTAGAGAATGGAGATGGGCATGCCATTCAGGATTATTCCAAACGCAATGCAGAGGAAAGCAAACAGGCGTCCAAGGTGAGTTTCTGGACACATATCTCCATATCCCACTGTAGAGATGCTGACCTACAGGCAAACAAACATTCAACCCATTAGCTGAGAAGAAATGTACAAACAGGTATGTTCAGGTATCAGGGATAATTTCAAAGTTAGTGTTTTTGCAACTTGTGTCATAAGTATGAAACACTTTGTGCTGACTTTTTTTCTCTGTACCACCCATCTTATGCAAAATCCCTAATTAAAAAAAAAATCCTTCATGTGCAGTAAAGAAAGATAAAAGTCCAGTTTGGCACTATTCAGGAAGATTTTTAAAAGCTTTGACCTGCAGAAGGGATTTCCAAACAATTTCCACACCAGTCTATCCAGAAGATGGATTTGCTGGGCTGCAGCAGACAAATGGAGATGTCTCCCTGATCATGCAAATCCAGTGATAACTGCAGCCCTGCTCCCTCACCATGTCACTTGGAACAGATGTCCTGTGTTTAAATCTAGAGTGCTTATAAACCCCAGTATTTTGAGACTTATCATGTGGGTATATTTTGAGTATTACCTTTGTTTGTCACATCAATTTTAGGAACTAATGAAAACCATATTTCAGCTAATTGTGAAAGATACCTTCATAATGTTTGCACTATAGGAATAAATGACCCAGGACTTCGAAGTGTCTAAATAAAATCCCCTTTAATGGTTACATAACTTCAAGGAGCTATGGAAAAACCAACGAACTTTATCACTTGAAAGTTTTCGCTTGCCGTGTATGCTTGCAATGTACATTTTTATAGTGCTAGATAATTTGACCTTTCTGCCTAGCTGTACATCACAGGTTAAAAGAAGTAAGGTGTATATGTGCCTTCAGTAGAGAATATTCCTGTTTGTTTTAGCTGAGGTGTACACAGGTGGGAAATCTTTTCTGATTTCCCCTTTGAAGAAAGGTTTGGGAATAATTTAGAATGTCTTCTTTTTTTTTTTTTTTTTTGCTGTGGGAGTGATAATATTAAGTATATCCATTTTCTATGAATCTGTACATTTTGCCATCACATTGCCTATATAGTTTCACAGTCTTTTTTCTTCTCAGCCATGAGCATATCCTCTTTTTAGACTGTGGATGTATGAAGGAACTATGTTTCATATGGACCTGGTACTACACAAATACTTTCTTTGTGCAATTTAGCTTAAAAAATTCATAGATGTTTGATTATAGAGATGCTACACATGAATGACGTACTTCCAAACAGACAGCATGAGCAACTTCTAATTTATACATTTCCACTGCACACGCCTTGATTGTTTATAACTTTTAAAATTTTTTAAATATAACTTGTTTTTCTCTGGCAGGTAAAAGTTGCAGGCTTCTGCCATTTGGCACTTTCTAGTAGGTATAAGGGATCTTTTTCAGCCAAGGAAATTTATTTAATTTTTTTTTTACAGTATCTCAACCCTTTGTGTGTATCTCCGAAATGGTAATCTAAAACTTTGACAGGCAGTAGAGTTTCATTGTAATGCCTTTGTGGATTTAGCACTGAAATAAGTCTTTGGAAGGTCACGGTGTGCAGCCTGCCATCCTCTAACATGGTAAATAAAATGTTATTTTGGATGAAGAAAGCATTAGGGCACATGAGGCAGCACTGGGTAAGCACATTTGTAGGATGCACCTGGTGCTTCCTGTGGAATAAAAAGGATTAGTCATTTGGTTTAGTGGAAATTAAGTCACTGGATTTGACTGATAATACCGGATAAATATCTCCAAAAATATATTTTAAGATGAAGGCAAGATGTTTATCTCAACCAGCCACGACAAAACCATTATCCTACAATAAGGTTTTGTTCCACTGGCATAGTCTTCTACATCACCTGTGATGGTTTGGGACAGAAACATCTCCTGTGTGCATGAGACGATGAACACTGCTGGATTTTAATGAAATTTGAGTCATCTAGATATCTTATTTTTTATTCCTACAGAATGAGTAGGCTTTAAAAACAGGTGTTGGCCTTGAAATTGTAATGTGCATGCTACAGCTCCTCTTCTGGAGACACTCGCTCAGCTAAGAAGGCCTTTTTCATGTAGTCAGTTGTACAGGTTTCTTAGGAGGATCTAAATGATTATGGTGTCATCTGCTTGCAGAAATGAGCCCTAAAGGTTTTGCACATATGCTGCGTGTTCAGAGAACAAAATATAATATCCTTATTCCAGAAATACATGAAGCACCATTTTTTTCTGTAACTTGTGTATGCCACTTAAAGATGAGCTGCAAAGGTCACATTACAGGTCATTTCCCTTATTCAGTGCCTTTTTGCCTCCTTCCCATGCCCTAGCTTAAAGGGTATTCAACACATGTGCATACGCATGTACGTATGTAAATGTCTGCATGTGTCTGTATGGTCAGTTTTTCTGCTGTGCAATGAATCACTTCAAACATATTTATGGGAAGCCACCACATCTCATCACCCCTCACTTCACCACGGGCTTCCAGGGCTGCCAGCCAGGAGAAGCAACCTTGGGTGGGTGGGGGTTGCTGTTCTACAGGCACGATATACAGCTTAATTGATCCAGTGCCTACACCGATCAATCAACGTGAGAAGCCCTTCTGACTCCTTTCCAGTCCATTGGCATGGGCTTCCTTCTCCAGGGAAGTGACTGTGACATAGCTAGCCCAATAGCCAGGACCAGGGCTCAGAAGTGCTCCTGGGTCCCTAACCTAAGTATGGGTTATGGAGGCCAGGATCAGCTGCTGAGAGACAAAATGTACGTGATGACAGGCTAGAACAAGCCTTAGAGTTACGGACAGCCAAGATACGGGCCCTTTGCCTTCTGTCAGCACCTGCAGCGTCCAGCTACCCTCTGGTTTGATCCAGGCTGCAACAGACACACACATCTTCAGCAGCGTAACAGTTTCCCAGTTATGAAACGCTGCCAGCTGCAGCATAGGCAGGGGTCAGCTTCCTCCTCTCCACAGCACCCTTGATAAAACCATCCCCCTCCCTGCCAAAAAATTGCTGTAAAAATGATAATTGTGAAACTGTCATACTCGTACATGAAGGTTATCTGCTAAGGATTTACTTATGAATCTCTCTCTGTTGCCTACTAGTCATGATAAACCCAAAAGTCTTTCTTTTATCTTCACGGCTCGCCTTGGTGGATATAACTATCATTTTGATCCCACAGTAGATTGAGAAGTATTGGTTAGCCTTCTGTAAGTGAATGGATGTCCATCCTTGCATATTAATGCAATCCAAACATGGAATTGAGCTGCTCCCTGACTGCTTTAGAGTTAAATTTTTGAGTTTGGGGTGAGTTTGAGTTTCTGAGTCTGGGATGCTGGGACAGTTCTACTGGGAACATTGCCAGAGCAGGAGGCATTTGAGCAAGGTGGAGGAGTTTAAACTCCTGGCTAAATCTTCACATCCCTGAAAGATGTGAACCTAACAGCCTGGAAAATGCTACCTCAAAGACACCGTTCCATGTAACACAGTATAGTACAGGTTAGCGATAGTTCACAGCTCTCAGAGAGTGCCTAGAGCACTAACCCAGTGGCAGTCTTTAGAAACGAGGTCATTCTGTCTTAATTTCTGAGGCTTGTCAGCTGAAACTCAGCCAGTTACCCTCGCTCCAAGTGCCTGGGTTGGGACTAAGACTCCCACTCTTTCTGGCAGAGGTTGCAAAAAAGGATTCAAGGTGACATTAACCAGCTCTCAGTGCTGACTGATGTGGGATTCAAACCAGTGACCTAGATGTAGGAGGCAGTTTATCCCATTATCAACCCCTTGAGCCATTCTGCTCCTTTTTATGTTTATTCCTATACAAGTCTGGTACGGTATAAATAACTACCTTTGTTTAGTGTGGGTACAGACATGCACCTGGATGTCCCACATGAGGAACAGAACACAGTCTCTTGTGTAAAACACCTATTGGCTCTAATATGTTTTTAATGGCCAGAGTGCTGGGACAGCTTTGGCTTTGTGGGTTTGAATGACCAGACTATAGTTAATAAATTATGTCTTATCATCCTGCAGTTATGTGATGGGTCACAGTAGATCTGCAGCAAGAATGAAAAGCCTGTGTCCATCTGCAACCAGCCAGCCCGATACAAGGTTTAATTTTTTTTTTCAACACTGAAAGTGTGATTAAATAGGGAAATGCCTAATGCTTTTCTTTCTAGTCTCTTTGCCCACTTCTTTAAAGCTGAAGTACTGTCTGCATTTGGTTAAATGAGAATATCAACACTGCTTGATTAAAACGTGATTTAAGCTTACAACAGAGGTGAATGAGTGCATGTATGCATGTGCGTGAGTGTGTGCATATGTCCTGTAATCTCAGAATTCAGAGCAGATGTTCACTGATTTGAGCCTGCTGTTTTTAAGACTGTCAGCAACTCTAGGAAGGAAGGGGTGGGGAGGGAGGGGAAGAGAGGGAGGATCTCTGGCTACCCAGCAAGGTGAGATGTGTTTACTTACGGCAGCCCACCACCAAGCATGGGGGATGCTGGTGAAGTTGGTACTGGAGACGTCGTGCTCCACTGTGTAGACCATGGCAGAGAAGGCAAAGATGCCCATGGCAATGAAGAGCAAAAGGCAGCCCACCTGCTGGTAGCACTGTCGCAAGGTAAAGCCGAAGGCACGCAGCCCTGTGGAGTGGCGGGCCAGCTTGAGGATGCGGAAGATGCGCATGAGGCGCATGATGCGAAGCACTTGTCCCACCTTGCCCACCCTTCCCACCTTTTCAATATCATGTTCATGCTGAGAGCCCCGACCTCGGGGCTGGTCATCATCAGCAAAGCATTCAAGTAGCAGCTGCAGGTAGAGGGGCAGGATGGCAATGAGGTCTACCGCATTGAGGGCGCTGCTGGCAAAGCGGCGCAGGTCTGGGGTAGACACCAAGCGCAGCAGGTACTCCAGTGTGAAGAACGCGATGCACAGGGTCTCAATGTGCTCCAAGACAGGCCGGCTCTCCCCACTCTTCCGGTCTACCTGCTGCATCTCCTCCACTGTGTTGAGGGCCAGGGCCACCACAGAGATGAGCACGAAGAAGCTGGACGCCACTGCCATCACCTTAGCGGTGACAGAGGAAAAGGGCTTCTCCATGAGGTTCCAGAGACGCCAACGCTGGGGACCATAGTAGCGCATGTGATGGAAGAGCTGCTCGTTCTCCTGAGCCTCTGCCTGGGAGCGCAGCTCGCGTTGGACCTTCAGCTGTTCGGTCAGCTCGTCGCGGCGCTCCTCAAAGCAGATGCGGCAACAGCGAGGTGTGTATTTGAGCCGCACACCCCAGTAGCTCAGTTCCTCCAGGAAGCTACGGGGACACAGCTCATCCCGAACGCGCAGCACCCCCGATGCGTAGAAGTTGTACACCAGCTGGAAGACGGCTGGGTCCCGGTCAAAGAAATACTCATCTACCTGGGCAGCGTAGTCATCGCACAGGCCCAGCTGGCAGCGACGGTCAGTGGAGGTAGCCAAGCGGCCCAGGCGGGTCTTAGGATAGATGGCCACTGCCTGGTAGGTGAGACGGTAGCTTTGGCCGCCAACATTGATATTCAGCACAGATGAAGTGGAAGACGTGGCTGGAGCTCTGTAGGAAAGTTTGGGGGCACAAGGAATGAATGACAAGGGCTTGTTTTCTCCCTCAGTTGTGTCTCCACTTGGCCATTTTCCCTGTTCTTTCTCTTCCTCTTCCTCGTCTTCATCATCCACATAATAGTTATAATTCCCCTCGGGTGCCAGGAGCAGTACGGACTGGGAGTTCGATGGAGTGGTTGCGGAAAAGCCACTCTGCATGCTGGCATTATCTTTCCCCTTGCCGGGCTGTGGGAGGACATTTGGAGCTTCCCTCTCTCTGTCTTTATGTTTTAGGAAGGGAAGCTCTCGCCGCATGTTAAACTGCAACATAATATTTTTCCTTACCCTTTTCCCTTCTTGTATTCACCTGATCAAGGAATTAACACCAGTCCTTTCCAACACTACAAAGGCTGACAATCTTGTTTTCTTCTGTCTTTATCTCAGTAGTATCACACACAGCAACGGTTCTGCATTTTTCTCCCTGCCAGACAGCACTCCAGTTGTTGTGAAAGCTCCGTGTGGGATATAGACACATGAAGGACTGCTGTTGACCGTTTTAATCTTGCTGACAGGGAAGATCTGAGCGCTTAGAGAAGGGGATTTAAAGGCTATTATCCTGTTCCAGCTTCATCTCCCTCAGGCTGTGACGTGAATAATTATGGATCCATAAATCTATGAAAAATCAGTAGGGGAAAAAAACTCTGATGTTTTATTGCTAATAAAACACATGAATTTTCCTAATTCAAGTAGATATGAATTAAGAATTATCTCAAAATGAAAATGTATGGAGGGCAGAAGGAGAGTGGGGGAGAGAGAGGTTTCTTTCATCTGCATGAGCGTAACACGTCTTAGTTTTCCTTAATGAACATAATGAGTGCTTGGTGTGTAGACAGTGGGTAGCAAATCACTACAGCAGCTCTTGAAATGTTTTCCAAGGGTGAGCAAATAAAAGTTGTCCCCTTGTTTTAGTCCCAGTCAGAATACCTCTATCTGGTTAAGTGCTGTGGAAAGTCATGTCTGTGCCTGAAGCTTGGGCTGTGCTCTGGGAGTGCACGTCTCCTGCTGCTTTGAGCACAGTGGAAGGGAAGGGAAGGGGTGAAGAGGGAAGTGAAGGTGTTTCCAGCACGCTACTTCAGACTTTTCATGAGCTGCTAAGAAATAGAATAAAGGCACTCTTGTTTCTCTTGCAGGACATGTTTAATAGCATGGAGACACAATACGTACCTAGCAGGACAGGAGAAATGCTTTCTCTTTGTTTTGATAGCGTTTTTTGTTGGGTTTGTGTTTGGTGGGAATTTTTGGTAGTGGTGGGGACTAGGGGGATGGCTCCTGTACAAAGCTTCAAGACCGAGTCAGTCAGGCCTCTGCAATCAGCATATTTAAGAGAGTAAACTTGTTGAGTGAGTGTGTGTTTGGGGAGTGCTTTGTTTTGGAGAAGAAGGGACAATGAGAGAAGAAACCACGAGGTCACCAGGGTCGATGAGGAGGGAGGGGGATAAGGGCGTTGGAGCAGACATTTCCCTGAGGCCTGTGGTGGGATGGCAGGATGACCCCCCACATCCTGAGGAGATTAACAGTGGCACAGGACCCAGTCTGCAGCCCCGGGAGGACCCCACGCCGGAGCAGAGGACCGTGCCTGACGCATGCCGTGACTGCCAGGGAAGCCTGTGCTGGAGCAGTCAGTCGCGGGGGGCCACACAGCCTGCGGGTGCGACCCATGCAGAGGCAGCTCAGGAAGAGCCATGATCGTGTGGGAAGGACTCACACTGGAGAAGCATGAGGAGAACTGTCTCCGGCGAGAGGGACACCGTGGTGGAGCAGGGGGAGACTGCAAGGAGTCCTCTTCCTGAGGAGGAAGGAGCAGCATGGACAATGTGTGATGGACAGACCACGGCCCCCATCCCCTGCCCCTCCTGTGCTTCTGGTGGGGGAGGAGGTAGCCGACAAGAAGAGAGGGGTGGGGGGAAGGTGTATTTAAGATCTGGTTGTATTTATTTGCTCACTGCCCTACTCCAGTCTAATTCATTGGTAAATTGGTGGGGGTTCTGTTGCCTAAATTAAATTGATGTTTTCTCTCCAAGTCTACTCTGTTTTTTGCCTGTGACCATAAGTGGCAAGTGAGTCTTCCCTGAACTTAATCTAAATCCTCAAGACTTTTGTTGAATTTTATCCTCCCCACCCTGAAAAGGAGGAGGGTAGGAATAAGCGAACAGCTTTATGGTTCTTTGTTACTGGCTGGCTGGTCTCAAACCACAAGTGTTCATCCTCGGCTCTGGCTGGGCTGGTGCAAGCATCTACAAAATAATGAGCATCCTGAAAGCCGGGTCACTTTCCCTTGTCACAGGTAGCACTTCAGCTGACCTACGGCTCCTATAAAACAGAGGATACACATGGTAAACAGATGGCTGCTTTGGTATGCTCTTAGGTCCTGAGTTGCAGCTTCTTAATGCCAGGCAGTTCATTATCCCACCTGTATCAAGGCTAGTGCAGAAAGGGACAAGGCACTAGAAAACTGCTAGCTTTGGCAACACCTCACTGCTCCAGAAGGCCTTCCATCTGCAGTCCTGTGGCCTGCCTTCTACTTGCCGCTCCCTACTCTTTCACACAAGTGGCTGGGACAGATTATCCCAGAGGCTCAGCAGCAGTATTCTTCCTTTAATGCCCCCAAGCTCCTGTTCTTGTGTCATTAATCTCATGGTCTTGTACCTGCAAACCCCAATACTGTTGTTTGGTGGTGTCCCATGCAAAGCAATTGCCATTGGTGTGAGAATCACCCCTTCTTTTTCCCCTTCCCCTTCCCCCCACTTGTAGATTTTACATTTATTAGCTCTTGACAAACAAGAATACTATAGTAGCCGAGCATTTTTGCAATAGTTCTGTTCTCAGGCTGCATTCTAATGAGTGTATCACACCAAGTAATTCAATGTTTCTTCAGGTCACACTGTTTAAGGCTTGGATTATTGGCAATTCATACTTAACTGCACCTGAAAGTGTTTCACTTCATGAATTTTTCTCTTCCGCCCATTCTCTTTCTGGATACAAAAAAGCAAGGCCTCTATCAATAGGGATTGTCAGTGCCTTATTACAGACACCAATCTACTCTGCAGTTTGCTTTGAACATTAAACGGTGCCATGGTGAGTCCTTTGTTAGCAATGTTAATGCAAATGAATGTCCAATTTCAAGGCTGCTTCTTTCCCATCTGCAAACTAATTCAGACATAAGAAAAATAAATATTCTGCAATGCCATCATTTTCCTACTAAAAATTCTTGAATATTTATTAGTCAAGACTCAGGTTGGACTATAATCATATTCATCTTGCTAGCCTCTTCCAAAGCATTACATTTTACTTTTTGTCAGGCTTCCTGATCTTGGTTCTGAGACATATCCAGTAAGGCTAATTGCTCACTACTGAAGAGATTGTGTCTCATACCATACTGCAGCGGCAGGAGCTGCTACAGAATGAACTTCACCACTGTCAGATGCCAACACCTCATGCAGCTGGACCCTGATGTTGGACATCACTAATAGGCAAAGGAAGAAACATTGCTAGCTTTACTGCTTCTCAGACTAATCACTCTGACCTAGATATTCTTGGGAGTGTAGGTCTCAGACACTAGGTACCCTCTGCTCAAACTTGCCTCTACCTGACAAAATAAGTAAATAAAAAATTGCTTTGTGTTCTTTATTTTGGGGTGAGACTTGATTCCAAGCTGTTAGACTCTCAGCCTAGATAGCTAAGAAAATTACATGACCAGAAAAGATTTCCCTTTCCTCTTCTTTATTTTATTCCCTTAGCTACCTTATTCAGTGTGCTGCTTATCTTCGTAAGTGTTATTAATAAGAATTGCCAATGTCTTATATGGGGAAGAGCAGAATTCAGGCTGCTGAAGGAGCTAGTTAGTAAGGTTAGTAAGGTTCCCCTGGGAACCTGCTTTTGGAGGTATTGGAGTGTGTGAATGCTGGTCACTTTTTAAGAGACATCTCTTCAGAGCACAGGAGCAGGCAATTCTGAAGTGTCAGAAGTCAAGCGAGTGGAGCAAAAGCGCAGGCTGGCTAAGCAAGAATCTTCATCTAGAACTTAAGTGAAAAGGAAAGTGTACAGACACTGGAAGGAAGGACAGGTGATGTGGAAGGACAAGATGATGTCTGTTCACCACTGTAGGGAGAAAGTTTTTGTGACCAAAGCTTGATTAGAGTTCAAGCTGTCCAGCACTCTGAAGGAAAACAAAAAGTGCTTAAAATACGTTAGCAGCAAAATGGAGGTCAGAGATATATTGGTCCGTTACTTGATGAGTTTGGTCACCTCACAAACAGCGATAGAGACAAAGCAGAGAAGTTTAATGTCTTCTTCACCTCTGTCTTCAACACCAGTGCTGGGCCCTGGGATGCCCAGAGCCCTGTGTTGGAAGATCATGACTGAGGGGATGATGAACCCTGAAATTGTTCAAGACTTGTTTCTCCAGCTGGATGCACATAAATCTATGTAGCCTGATGGGATCCATCCCAGGGTACCGAAAGAGCTGATGAATGTTATCTCGGCACACCGTTTGACAAGTCCTTAATATGTTGTGTGAGTAGTTGGCTGACAGGTTGGGCTAAAAAATTTTAGTAAATGAGGTAACATCAGACTGGTGGACAGTCACCCCTGGGACTCCCCAGGGTTCAGTTTCAGGGCGAGTGCTGTTGAATGTTTTTAGAAGTGGTCTGGATGAGGGAATCAGTTGTACATTAAGTATGTTGGCTGATGACTCTAAATGGATGTCGACATGTAGTTTTAGGTCCCTGACCATCTCCTTACGAATTGTGGGGGAGATATTTTGCTCCCAGTCCCATTCTCTTGGCTTGGGGGGCCGGCTTCCTCAGCACAGGTGTTACTATTACTAAAGACTGAGGCAAAGAAGGCATTAAGAACCTCATCCTTATCCTTTTCTGTTACTCTATTTCCTTCTGAGTCTAGCAGGCGATGGAGACTATCTCTGTTCTTTCTTTTGTTATTAATGTATTTATAAAAACTTTTCTTACAGTCCTTTACTTTCAAATCCAGATTAATTTCCAACTGGGCCTTGGACCTTCTAATAATCTCCCTTCATAACCTAACAATATCCTTATACTCACTATGAGTGACCTGCCCTCTTTTCCAGAGACCATAAAATATTCTCCCTATTCAGCCAGGCTGGTCTTCTATGCCACTGGCTTGTCTTAAAACACGTAGGGCTGGCCTGCTCCTGTGCCTTCAAGGTTTCCTCCCTAAATAGTGTCCAGCCTTCCTGGACTCCTGTATCCTTCAAAACTGTTTTCCAAGGGATTTTACTGGGCAACCTTCCAAAC